TCGTAGGAAGAGCGTTGAAAGTGCAAACGTAACCGTTCAAGCGTCCGGTCTCCAACTTTGACACATGAATAACGCCGGAGTCTACCACAATCTTTATGCTAGTAAAGATTATAGTAGTATAAAATATAAAGATTAAAATTGGGATAATAATAATCTTGTATATTTCTTATAGAAAATATTTCTAATAATATTTAGAAAATAGTATAGATATTTTCTACACACAATGATATTAATGGAACCAAACTAATATATTTCTCTCTCTTAAATGGTATGGCCGAATAACACCCATGCTTAGCTAATGGTGTGTATGGTTTTAAATAAAGCATGATTAGTAATTGATTTTGTCATTAGCTAAATGACAAATCAATTAGCCCACTCAAAAATCAATCAAAGGAAATAATGATCCTCTTCAATCCCATATGGCCGAACAAAAGATTTGTGATTGTGAGAAGGATTTTCAAAATTCTTCTCCACTTAAATGTTCAAAGTTTATTTTATTTGACACCAAAAATTAATATAAAAATTAATTTTAAATCAAATAAAAAAACTCATATCATTCTCCAAAAAGGTGAAATATTCAACATATAATATATATACATTAATCGGTACATATATATAATATATATAACCGAATATTTATATATATAATATTATATTCCAAAATATATTATTTTACTATTTTACAAATATACAAATTACTTATTATCCCATTGTTTAATCCTACTCCTTAAATTGTTCAAAGTGTGTGACCCGTATAGGTGGCACTTATAAAGTTGGCCACAGTATTGGCTCTGCACCAATACTATAAGCAATAAGCGGTATCTAGCAACACATTATTGCCCCCAGATTATAAGTTAAGACGTTTGCACTGTCAAAACCTTTCCACGACTCAGACTCCGTGTAATTGTATCCCTTTGTCTCAATGTCTAAACCTAATGCAAGGGATTAATAAAATCCAATCCAGCTTGTATCCATTAAGTCATTCACTGATTTATCAAGTCTGACTGATAGGAACAGACGTCATAAAAACATCTCAGCATGGCCATGCAATATCCTCAGTCATAACTTATCAGTGGGCCCCATACGACATTAATCTCTTTTAAAAGAGTAGTGACAAATCCTATGTACGTAATCTACGTTTCTGAATACGCGCTACGGCATACCCAACACAAAGCATGTATACCATTCTTATTTCATATGACTTAGGACAATGCATCACAGTATGCGGGTTCACATATGTAGAAAACGTAATACTTCAAGTCGAAGGATAGTTACACCCGTGGTCGCGCTAAAGATGCTTAGAGCATGAAGTAAAAGTTCAAGCAACATCTTTAGGATGGATCATTCCGGTATCCTATTATCTCTAGATAATATCTGCCCATGTGCGGATGCGAACACATCGTCATTGACTATGAGACTAAGTCAAATATCCAACACACACTAGTCTCACATGCATTAACGATATCCCACTCTCGTTAATACTCGACTATGGACATTTAGATAAATATTTATTTCAAGATGTTAGTCTCATCAGCAGAATAACACTATCTGATAAACATCTTTTAAATATAAATCTAGGAATATAATATTTGTTTACATTAGCATGAGATGTGTAAACATATTATATGTGCGTATACATGATAGAATAATGATAAACAGTTGGCCATCAGGGCACAACTCCAACATTTATCATCAAAAACTTTGTGTTGTTTGGAACTCTCTCTTTTTACACTTTTTATTTTATCTCTAAAACTAAAAAGACCAAAAAATATTTTACAACTTCTTTTGTAAATTTTTGTTAAAATTAAATTAACTCATGTCTTCCTGAGGTTCGACACTCTACTTAAAAGGGTTCTTTTTAGTTGTTAGTTTTGCCCGTTTTATACTGCAAATCAACATCCAACTTGTCACCGTTGCCGGGGAGACGGTTTGAGTTTTTTTAAACATAAGTTTTATTGTTTATTTGTTGTAAATATTTGTTATTATTTTGTTTTCCCTAACCTCTTCCTGCAGGTACTAAAAAAACAAAAAAAACCTAAAAAAAAACTAAAACAAAACAAACAAACAAAAAAATTAACCAAAACAAAAAAAAGTGAAAAAAAAAATTCCTTTGAGTTCCTTTACTCTTGAACACTTATTGGACTTGTACATATTGACTTGGACATATTGGACATATTGAACTATCCTACAGGTCGGATTTTCCGCCAACGGTGATTGGACATTTTTTTTTCTTTCTTTATTTTGCCCGGTGATCCGCAAAGCCGTCACAAGGTTTGTACATTTAATTACTGTACTTTACATTTCTGCCTTTTTTTCTTTCTTTCTAGGCGTGCAAAGACGCTATTGGACATTATATCTATATACTATATATTATATATATTATATATTATATATTATATATTATATATATTATAAATATTATATATATATATATATATAATATTATATATTATATATTATATATATTATACGTATTATATATCTATATATTATTACTAACTCTTTTTATTTTTTTAGTGTCCTCGTTGGTTTATTACCACTTGGGACTCTAACCGCTAACTACTAACTAAGGTATCACTTGTCTCGGTGGTTTTTACCTCTTGACTTAAGTGAGAGTCTTTTTATTAATTTTTGCACCTTACATTTTTTTCTTCTTTTCCTTTCCCCCTTTTCCTTCTCTTTTCTTTTTTTCCCCTTTCTCCCCTTTTACTTTCCTTCTATTCCCTTTTTCCCTTCTCCCTCTTCTCACTCCAACCTTCCCAATCCCTTTCTTTTTATGCTAACGCGTTCACGTGGGATTAATCAAGAAAAACTTTTCTTTCTAGAAATTGAAAAACATTTGAAAGAAATAAGAAAAAGAAAGAAAATGGAAGTCCCACGGAACAATGTTCTTGAAACGGTACAGGAAATTCCAAGAAGACAAAATGAAGTTCCGAATAGGAGGACTCTTTCTGACTATGTCACTCCTCCTGTGGAGGAACATAACATCATTATTCCTGCAGATGTCACAGCAAACAACTTTGAAATCAAACCTGCTGTCATCCACATGGTCTCATCTGATGAGTTTAGTGGAGGACCAACGGAGGACCCACACAACCATACCACCAAATTCCTGTGAGCATGCAACACGTTAAAGATCCATGGTGTGCCAACTGATGCAATCAGACTCCGTCTGTTCCCGTTCTCTCTAAGGGACAGAGCTCAAAGCTGGCTGGATTCATTTCCAGACAATCACTTCGCAACTTGGGACCAGCTTCACGGAGAATTTCTCAAGCGATTCTTTCCACCTTCCAAAACAGCAAAAATCAGGTGAATGATACAAGACTTAAAGCAAAATCCAAACGAGCCCCTTTACGAGGCTTGGGAGAGATTCAAAGATCTTCAAAGGCAATGCCCACATCAAAATATCCAAAGCTGGCACCTAATGACGGCTTTCTATGAAGGCCTAAATGAAAACTCACGGATATTGTTGGATACCTCGGCGAGTGGATCATTCATGAGCCTTGAACTTGACGAAGCTGAAGAACTCATTCAGCGGATCTCAACAAACGGATCTACCTGGTACTCTGACCGTCTATCCGCTCAACCGAAAATTGGAGGCATGTACGAAGTTGATCAAATGTCGGCCATGACTGCTAAGGTCGACAACATGATGAGCATGATCCAAAAGATTGCTCAAGTCTCTGCTGTGCAAAACACTACGCCAGCACCACCTCATGTTCCTTTTCTCATGTGTGTATCATGTGGTGGACAACATGATCAATCTTCGTGTCCATGGGATGCAATGGAGCAAGTTGATTATGTCAACTATAACCGGCCACAGCAACAACAAAACCCATTTGGCGGATTTAATTCTCAAAAGAGAAATCATCCTGGTTTCTCTTAGAGCAATCCAAATGGAGCTGCCAATCCACAAGCTTATCGTAGTCCACCACCCGGCTTTCAAAATCAACAGCAACAACAATTTAGAGGTGGCCAAGGTTTTGCTAACAATCATCAGTTTAAGCAAAACCAAAGCTTCCCCTATGTTTCCAATCAACAAAAGTCGATCCTGCCAACTCCTGAAACAACATCAGCTCCCGGCTTGGATAGCATTGTTGATAAGCTACTCAAATCTCAACTAGCCCAAGCCGAAACCTTGAAGAAGATTCTTGAAGAGCTTACTCAACTTCGAGCTCACAATAGGATGCTTGAAAATCAAATCTCTAGTCAAGCATCAACATCATCAACAAATGTGACTGGAAAATTGCCAGCTTGTCCCGAGAATCCAAGAGAGCAAATGAATGCTATCACTACTCGGAGTGGGAAACAAATTCAATCTCCATCTCTTCCGAGTAGTGATCCTGAAGAAGAAAGAAGAGAGGATGTCAAAGAAGAAGCTCAGAACAAAGTCAAAGGAGATGCTGCTGAAATGTTGCCGGAGTCAATCCAGATCAAAGAAGGAAAGAAAAAAGAAGAAGAAGGTTTGGTAAGGAAATATGCTCCACCAATTCCTTTTCCAAACCGACTCAAGAAATCTGTATAACTCCTTGCTTCTTGTTTCAAGAACTTGGCATAGTTCGTTAACCTATAGAGATAAGGAAATGAACTACGGTATGGCTTTAAGGAAGTATACGGTTTAAAGAATTCCTCTAGAATTGTTTCTTCTTCCTTTTAGGAGAGTGCCACCGGTACTCAGAAGAGTGCAGTGCCATTATCTAAAATAAGAGCACACCAATACTACGTGATCCTGGAAGCTTTTCAATTCCATGCTACATCGGAGGATCTAAAGTAAACAAAGCTCTTTGTGATCTTGGTGCAAGTGTTAGCTTGATTCCATACTCTCTGTGTCAAAAGCTACACTTGGGTGATCCGAAACCGACAACCATGGCGCTACATTCGGCTGATCGCTCTGTGAAGTATCCAACCAACATTCTTGAAGATGTTCCTGTGAAGATCGATAAATACTATATTCCAGAAGACTTTGTTGTCTTGGATATGGAAGAAGATGCCCGAGTTCCTATCATTCTCGGGAGACCATTTCTAGCCACTGCTGGAGCAATCATAAATGTGAAGAAGGGTACACTCATCCTTGATATCAGGGATGACAAGATCGAGTTCAATGTGCCAGAGCTGAGTAAGAATGATTCATGCATTCTTGATTGTTTCAACGTGGATATCATTGATTCATGTATTCTTGGAACTCTTGAGGAATCTCATTTACTCTCAAGAGATCCAATGGAGTACACCATATGCCAATCTATTGAAGAGAAACAATCAAATGAGATGGTGAACTCATGCTTGGAGATTTTAGATCATCTCTTCGAACCAATGGAGGGACCGGAAAAATTTGAAGTCCTTAATCTTGAAGAGGAGCCAATGCCCAAAAATGATGAAATACCTAAAGTAGAGCTCAAGCCTCTTCCCTCTACTTTACGGTATGCTTTTCTTGGGCCTGATTCTACTTTTCTGGTGATCATCAACTCTTCCCTAAATGCCGAACAAGAGGAGAAGCTGCTTAAAGTCCTTAGGGAACACCGAAGGATAATTGGTTATACCATTGGTGATATTGTCAGAATCAGTTCTTCATATTGCATGCATTGCATCTATCTTGAAGAGGAACATAAACCAAGCATTGAGCACCAACGACGTCTTAATCCAAAAATGAAAGACGTTGTCAAGAAAGAAGTGCTAAAGTTGTTGAGAGCAGGAATCATCTATCCCATTTCAGACAGCAAATGGGTTAGTCCTATTCATGTGGTTCCGAAAAAGGGAGGAAATACCGTTGTTAAAAACGACAACAATGAACTTATTCCTACCCGAATGGTTACTGGCTGGCGCATGTGCACTGATTACCGAAAGTTAAACAAAGCCACTCGGAAGGATCATTTTCCTCTCCCATTCATTGATCAGCCGCTGAAAGAATGGTCAAACATTCCTATTTCTGTTTTCTAGATGGCTTCTCGGGATTCTTTCAAATCCCGATTCATCCTCATGATCAAGAAATGAAGACATTTACATGTCCTTATGGCACATTTGCATACCGGAGAATGCCATTTGGATTATGTAATGCACCTACGACTTTTCAAAGGTGTATGATTGCTATTTTCTCAGAATACATCGAGGAGATCATGGAGGTATTCATGGATGATTTCTCTGTCTATGGGAATTCATTTGAAGATTGTCTAATGAATTTAGACAAAGTGCTGAGCAGATGCTAAGAAGCCAATCTTATACTAAATTGGGAGAAATGCCATTTCATGGCAACAGAAAGAATTGTACTTGGCCACAAAATCTCTGAAAGTGGTATTGAAGTTGATCTAGCGAAGATTGAAGTCATCGAAAAGTTGTCACCACCAAATTCTGTAAAAGGAATTCGGAGTTTTCTCGATCATGCTGGATTCTACCGCCGTTTCATCAAAGACTTCTCTAAAATCTCAAAACCCCTTGACAAATCTACTGTCCAAGGATGTAGATTTTAATTTTGATGCTGATTGTCAAGAAGCTTTTTCTAAGCTGAAGATGGCCTTAACAACTGCTCCAATTATAAGGCCACCCGACTGGAACTTACCATTCGAAATCATGTGTGATGCCAGTGATTATGCAGTCGAAGCTGTGCTAGGCCAACGCAAGGGGAGAGAAGTCTATGCCATATACTACGCGAGTCATACTCTTGATGATGCACAACTCAATTATGCAACAACTGAAAAAGAGTTTCTTGTGGTAGTCTTTTTTCCATTGAGAAGTTCCGATCATATCTCATCGGAAGAAAAATTATTGTGTACACTAATCATGCTGCTATCAAATACCTCATGGCAAAGAAAGACTCCAAACCAAGGCTCCTAAGATGGATTCTTTTACTACAAGAATTTGATATGGAGATCAAAGACTGGAAGGGGTCGGAAAATGTGGTTGCGGACCACTTATCAAGGTTGGAAATTCCCGAAGCAAGAACTATGCCGATCAATGATTACTTCATCGGAGAACAACTTATGCTGGCTAAAAGTATTGATCCATGGTTCGCTGACATATTGAATTATCTTTCAAATGGAATAATTCCAACCGGAGCAACTCATGCAGAAAAGAAGTTGTAATATGACTCTCGAACTTACATCTGGGAGGAACCATTCCTCTACAAAATTTGTGTTGATGGAGTCATACGAAGATGTTTGCTCGAGGATGAAGTTACAAATGTCTTACATCATTACCATTCTTCCGCCTACGGAGGACACCATGGTAGCTCCCGCACAGCAGTAAAGGTGTTACAATCTGGTTCCTTTTGGCCTACTCTTTTCAAGGATGTCAATACCTTTATTAAAAGCTGCGACCGTTGTCAACGCACTGGAAACATCGGGAGGAGAAATGAAATGCTTCAAGGGGGCATTCTTGAAGTTGAAGTATTTGATGTATGGGGCCTTGATTTTATGGGTCCATTTCTGAAGTCAAATGGAAAGGAATTCATCCTCGTGGGTGTGGATTATGTATCAAAATGGGTTGAAGCAATTGCCACGTCCACAAATGATTCAAAAGCGGTGATCAAATTTATTCGAGGGAACATTTTCTCTCGATTTGGAGTCCCAAGAGCAATCATCACCGACAATGGCACCCATTTTTGCAAAAGAGCATTGGGACGAGTTCTTGCAATGTACGGGGTTCATCACCGACTCTCGGCCCCGTACCACTCGCAAACAAATGGTCAAGTCGAGCTTTCAAACAGAGAAATTAAAAGCATCCTTGAGAAGGTTGTTAATCCTTCAAGAAAGGATTGGTCTGACAAGCTTGACAATTCATTATGGGTATACTGCACGACATTCAAAAATCCCATTGGCACCTCCCCATATCATCTTGTGTATGGGAAGGCATGTCATCTACCTGTTGAGCAAGAACACAAAGCATTTTGGGCGGTTAAAAATCTCAACATGGATCTCTCATTGGCGGGTGAAAAGAGAATGTTGGAGTTGAATGAGCTCGAGGAGTTCAGACTCGCAGCTTATGAAAATTCCAAAATCAACAAGGAGCAAACCAAACAACTGCATGACAAGGTAATCTCTAAACGAGATTTCGCACCAGGAGACCAGGTACTTCTTTATAACTCTCGCTTTAAATTGTTCCCTGGTAAGCTGAGGACCCGGTGGTCCGGACCATTCGAGGTAGTGGAAGCATTTCCCTCCGGAGATGTGCAACTTTGTGGCAAAGATAACGCCAAATTCATTGTAAATGGGCAACGTTTGAAGCGTTATCTTGCCAACGATCACCAAGAGGGAATGCTACTCCATTTCCTCGAAATGCCTGAATATAAGTGATTGCATTGGTAAAGCTAATGACCATAAATAAGCGCTTCTTGGGAGGCAACCCAAGTTTTCAAATTCTGATTTTTTTAATAAGGTAATTGAATTTCAATAAGGCGTTTTCCACGCCATGTACAAAAAAAATTAATTTACCAATTTTTTAGGAATTGTTTACTTATTTCTCCTTCATTTATTTTACACTGAGGACAGTGTAAAATAAAACTTGATTATTTATGTGCATTTTCAAATAAAAAAAGAAAAAAAAGTTATTATAATTATTGTTTTTCATTTTTGTTTTGTTTTTTGTGTGTTTGTGCTGAATAATGAACAGTCTTTATCCAAAAAGTAAAATTGAACTTACAAACTCTTTGTTTATATGTCTTGTTAATATTTTTTTACATAACCTTGTAAATTACAAAATCATCTCTTTTGACGGAATGTGGTATGAGTTTGAGAATTGTTTCATCATACATCTTGAGAGTAACTGTGTCCGAGCCTTGGGTTAATTTCTGTTAATAATTTAACATAGAATACCATAGAGTTTTTCCAATTTATTGGTTTACTAGCTAAATTTAGTTATAACTTTTATAGACCATATTGTTTCACATTTGTTCTCCATGAAAATGATGTTTTAATTTGACACATTTAGACATGATATAGGTCATCTTTGTTTAACCTCTCAAACCAAGCCTACCCAATTCAAAAAAAAAAAACCTAGTTGTTCCCTTTTGAGCCTTTTTCTGTACGTAAGTGTTACCACTTATCTCTTGTTTGTCATTTTTTTTCTTGTTACCCTGTAAATATTTAACCCTAAACCATTTTGCCAAAATAAATTATCCCTTCACCCAAGAGTAGATTGACTTATTATTTGATAAGGAACTTGAAAAAAAAGAGTTAATGATTGGAGCAGTGTGTATTTTTATAAATAATTGAGTATGTCATATTCTTTCTTTTGTATTAAAGTTGTACATTCTTTGTCTTTGTAAAGATAATAATAACTTAGTGTGCTTTCAAAAAAAGAATTAAAAAAAGGATAAAAAAAGTTTTAAAAAAAGAAAAAAGAGCAAAAAAATAAAAAAAAAAGTTCAAAAAAAAGAAGCACACTAATCTTGAACTCTTTAGATTTTTAGAATTTATTTTTCTTGGGCATAAAAAAATAAATAAATAAAAAATGCCTGTACCATTTATTGTATTCTTCGTAAAATAATGGTCATTTTTCATTTTCGAGTCATTTGTTTATCTTGCTCCATAGTTACATTTGTAGTAATTTTTGAGTTTCTGATCAAAATAAGTATAATCTATTTTTTTTGTCCTTTATACCCTTTCTTTGTTTAGCCATATTACCCTTAGCCCTGTTACAAGCCGAATAAAAGTCCTAATTGATCTTTTTGTGTCATTTTTAAAAATAATTGGATTGGAGAAACTTGGTTTGTATTAGTTTGACTAATTTAGCAGTATAGGTGTTTATGTTAGATTATTAACATGAAAGTTTCTCGGATAGGCAATATTACTCAAGTTACTCTCATTTTATTATTTTGTGACAATTCATGGGTCTTGGATAGTTCGGTGGACAAAAGAGATAATTGTGTGATTTTTAAAGTTATGTATGTGAATTCTAGCAACACATGTAAAAATTCTATTTGTAGTTTATTTTGCTTGAGGACAAGCAAAAGCCTAAGTGCGGGGGGAGTTGATATGCACATATTTTATACACTTTTTAGGCATATTTTGAAGGAGTTTTGAATCCGAATTTGAATTAATGTTTACATTTTATGTCAATTTTCCGTTTTATTTTGGTAGAGCGATCCTATGCTTGGTTTTATATGTTTTGCAGGTATTTTGAGGTCATTTGGACGCATTGATAATAATTGCAAGAACGGAGAATAAACATGCAAATTTGAGACGAAAAGAAATGGAAGAAATTTGAAGAAAAGAAGGAATTAAATAAAAAGAAATGGAGAAAAATGCCATTGGGTTTTGAACCCTGGACTTCAAGTAGTGGATCAGAATAAGACCCATCGCGCCACCAGATATTGTTCATCACATTGCTGGCGGTTACGGTTTTTTTTCTGTTTTAAAATTTGGCCCATGAATTGAGAGAGAAAAATGACAAATAGTTAAACGGTTTTTGACATATTGTACTACTGTTTGTATATACTCCGTAAATACGAATTTATCTATAAAATTCCATCTCCTCTCTTCTCCTAAGAGGTTGGAACCCCCTATTTCTCTCCTCTCTCCAATCCGAAATTCTCCTCCTCCATCACTAATATCTCCTTACTTTCTTCATCCAAACACATAAAAATTACTCCATCTTCATCATCATTTATCATATTTGGATCTCAAGAACACATCTTCCATTTTGTAAGATTTCTATGTTTGTAATAAATATTTATTTGTTTAAGTTTCAAACTATGTACTTCTAAATTCCATTGGGGTTAGAAGTTGTAATTAATTGTCCATCTTAATTTTTGAATATTTTAATATGGATTGTTAATTTTATTTTATTTAGATGTCGTATTTAAAAATAAATAAATTTGGAATGTTTGTGATTTTTAATCAATCGCCCAATCATAAACATAATTGTTACAAGGAATATGAGCTAAAATTGATATAATCATAAAATAGAACACTTTTTAAATAAACCGTAGCCTTCTCTACCTTTAACCGGGATTGGAGACTTTCGGGTGGACATAATTATTGAGTTGTATTTTTACACCATTAAATTGGGTAAACATACAATAAAATAATTATGGTTGCCTTTGTTACTAAATAATTACTCCAGATTTATCATTAGCGTGTTAAAGTAGGAGTAGTTATTATTTAGGTGAACTGCGAGAGCGTCCCTAAATATTTTTCTGCAACCCCACACATTCTATGTAAAAATAAATTGATAATCCAACTTTTATAAAAACATTGGACAATTAATTTACCAATTTATACCCCTAACTTTTTATCATAAAAAACTTTGTGTTGTTCGGAACTCTCTCTTTTTACACTTTTTATTTTATCTCTAAAACCAAAAAGACCAAAAAATATTTTACAACTTCTTTTGTAAACTTTTGTTAAAATTAAATTAACTCACGTCTCCCTGACGTTCGACACCCTACTTACAAGGGTTCTTTTTAGTTGTTAGTTTTGCCCGTTTTATACTGCAAATGACTTATCTGTGTGCATGTGTTTTGAGTGGACATATACATTAGATTAACAAATTTCGAGGACGAAATTCTTGTAAGGGGGAGAGAAATGTAACGACTCGAAAACCAGCTTCGTAGTGAGCCGTTATTTTTATAGAAATAAATGTAATATTTTATTATATTTATAGTAAAAAATATGAAATATTTGTACAGTTGACCTTTTATGTAAAAATTACATTTTTGGGTAAATCTCGTAAAATGATGACCCACAGTTTGTTAAGTATGGACTTACGTGTAAAGCATGATACAGTTCAACAAATAAAAATAAAGTTTGAAAAATATAATTATAACAATATATAGGAAGTTTCCTATTCTTCCCAAGTCACGCACTATGAAACTCCAACCCACCCAAACACAGAATATTGCATTTGCATATATATTTGATGCCGTAAAAAAACGAGTTGGTTTGATCAAGCTTAAAGTATTTGAATAGCGATACAATGTTTGGTTTGTTGATGTCAAAAAAATGGGGAATAATATTACAAATTTAGCAATGAAATGTTTCACACTACAACAAACTAAATTTTACTGCAACAATGGGTTTTTTTAACTTGTCCAAATGCAGAGAAGAAAAGAATAATTACTTTTAAAAACTGTATGCCATAGCGCAATCAATAATAACCTTCAAAAACTTCATTATGGAAATTCGGCAGGAGAGGTTTGATTAGCTGGTAGCTCTTGAATCGCGCCATATCCTTCGGTCAATGTAAACATGGCGGCTGCTTCAGACAAGCCTTTGAATGAGAGAGCTAATGAGTAACCTAAAGCTTTGGCAACTAGAACAACAACTGCATTTCCCACTTGTGTGTACTTGTCTTTGATGGAGCCACAAAGCTTGTAGTAATCAGGAAATTCCTGTAACCGCGCGTTTTCTCTGATTGTGAGAACTCGGTCTTGGACAGGGTGACAAATGGCCTGATTTTGAGGCTCAGCCCTGGTGACAACGGTTGGGACAGTTTCATCCCACCATAATCATTTGAATGGCTTGGTCGAAGTCCCTTTCACAAAAGAGATAGCATAGTTAGGAACCAATGGCTTCCCAGAAGGCAAATACACTCTTTCGACATTTGGATCCAACTCAACCTTATTGCCAACCACGCGAACACCAAGTAAATCTCTGAAATTTGCGCCCTTCCTCTTTGGAACATGGCATACGCGTTGAAAATCGTCTTCATTCAACTGTAATGGACAATGATCATACAAAACTTGTCCAAGCACACCATCTCGCCCAAGTCTTATAAACTGCTAAAAATGAGTTTTTGGATCATCAACATAATGCATCTCTTCTCTAACCTCAGTATTCTCAACCTTAGGAAGATCGGAAATGGCATCTTCAAGAAAGAGTGTGTCCTTTAGGTTGACATCATGGTTTTCATATTCAGCATTGTTGCACTCAAACTCTTTGGAAATGATGCCTCTACTATCAACTTTGTGGGTTGGCAAAGGAAATTTTGACAGCTTCTCTCCTTGAAGGGCACCCCACAAAAAGACACGCATGCAAAATTGTGGGAGGCCATACGCTCCACCAGCAAGCATACCCATCCGTGCCTTATAATTCATCCCTACAAGCTGGCTTAAAGCATATCTCCCAAGAAACTCGTAAATTTTAAAAGATCAACAACATTCGCCATCAACACAAACTTTGGCATTAAAAAATTAATCAAATCCATGAAAGTTTTCATTTGCTCATTTTTTGGATCCTCCAAAGGATTCTTAAAGTTCCTAAATCGATTGAAGCCACTTATTCCAAGACAAGGTGGACCACAACTACTATGCTTTATTTTAATAAATACCTTTTCGGGCGAGTTCCCATAAAATGTAATACGACTTAATTATGTTTTATATTCAAGCTTCCGCACTTTTTCAACGTTACTCTGAAATTTAATATTTGAATTTATCATTTATATTAATATTTAATTGGTTTTCAATTATTCCTCAAATTATCATGCGTAATTACCATCATGGTAACTACTCCGGCTCAAATAATCTAGATCATCGGGTTATTCGAGTTGGGGTGTTATAGCTGGTGAGGGTGAAGATAACTTTATTTGTAAAATTGTAGAAATGTTTGAAGCAGTTGATGGTGTGTGCTATTTTACAGTGCAATGGTATTAGAGAGCCAAGGAGACTGTCATCACATCATGTGATCAGTTTGTTGATCCTCGCCGTGTATTCTTTTCTGAAATCAAGGATGATAATAACGTTGACTGCCTTGTAAAAAAAGTCAGCATACATTACATACCATACAATGGAAATTATGTTTCAAGGGATATAATTCCACCTGAATCTGATTTTTATTGTGATATGATGTATCTTGTTCCTTGCTCCACATTTCTGAACCTGCCACACGATTTCAATTTCACTGCTGCCGATGTGTCCACTTCCACAATCTCTAGTGAGTCCGATGAGGTAGAAGTTAGAGAGCTTAATTAAGAGAAAACGCTCTTGGATATTTATTCTGGTTGTGGCGGAATGTCCATAGGACTCTGTTTAGTAGCAAATAGTTGCAATGTTAATTTGGTTACAAAATGGGCTGTTGATATGAATGGACCTACATGTGATAGCTTAAGACTAAACCACCCAGAGACAAATGTGATGAATGTGCCAGCTGATACATTTTTGGCCCTTTTAAAAGAATGGCAGCAGCTTTGTGCCTCTTGTATGTTGATAACAAGCAACTGCTCCCCTCACCCTAATTTGGATATGTCAACAAGTGATGAGGAAGAAGAAGAGAGCAATGATGATGATGATGATGATGATGATGATGATGATGATGATGATGATGATAATGGAGGTGAAGTGTATGAGGTTGACCATATTTTGGATATTTGTTACAGAAAGCCTAATGGTGGTAGAAAGTCTGGCCTATATTTTAAGATACATTGGAAGGGGTATGATGATGATTATGACACATGGGAACCAATAGAGGGATTAAGTGGTTTCCCTCAAAAGATCAAAGAATTTGTTGTCAATGGCTTTAAAGAAAAATAACCGCGTCTACCAGGACATGTCGATGTTATATGCGGCGGTCCACCTTGTCTAGGAATAAGTGGCTTCAATGGATTTAGGAACTTTAAGAATTCTTTGGAAGATCCAAAAAGTGAGCAAATGAAAACTTATATGGATTTGGTTGATATTTTAAGGCCAAAGTTTGTGTTGATGGAGAATGTTGTTGATCTTTTAAAATTTCCAAGTGGGTTTCTTGGGAGATATGCTTTAAGCTGGCTTGTAGGGATGAATTATACGGAACGGATGGGTATGCTTCCAGGTGGAGCATATGGCTTCTCACAATTTTGCATGCGTGTCTTTTTGTGGGGTGCCCTTCAAGGAGAGAAGCTGCCACAATTTCCTTTGCCAGCCCACAAAGTTGATAGTAGAGGGAGGCATCATATCCAAAGAGTTTGAGTGCAACAATGTTGATTATGAAAACCATGATGTCAACCTAAAGGACGCACTCTTTCTTGAAGATGTCATTTCCGATCTTCCTAAGGTTGAGAATACTGAGGTTAGAGAAGAGATGCATTATGTTGATGATCCAAAAACTCATTTTCAGCGGTTTATAAGAAGACTTGGGCGAGATGGTGTGCTTGGACAAGTTTTGTACGATCATTGTAAATTAAAGTTGAATGAAGACGATTATCAACGTGTATGCCATGTTCCAAAGAGGAAGGGAACAAATTTTAGAGATTTACCTGGTGTTCGCGTGGTTGGCAATAAGGTGGAGTTGGATCCAAATGTCGAAAGAGTGTATTTGCCTTTTGGGAAGCCATTGGTACCTAACTATGCTATCTCTTTTGTGAAAGGGACTTCGACCAAGCCATTCAAAAGATTATGGTGGGATGAAACTGTCCCAACCGTTGTCACCAGGGCTGAGCCTCACAATCAGGCCATTTGTCACCCTGTCCAAGACCGAGTTCTCACAATCAGAGAAAACGCGCGGTTACAGGAATTTACTGATTACTACAAGCTTTGTGGCTCCATCAAAGAAAAGTACACACAAGTGGGAAATGCAGTTGTTGTTCTAGTTGCCAAAGCTTTAGGTTACTCATTAGCTCTCTCATTCAAAGGCTTGTCTGAAGCAGCCGCCATGTTTACATTGCCCGAAGGATATGGCGCGATTCAAGAGCTACCAGTTGATCAAACGTCTTTTTCCGAATTTCCATAATGAAGTTTTTGAAGGTTATTATTGATTGCGCTATGGCATACAGTTTTTTAAAGTAATTTTTCTTTTCTTCTCTGCATTTGGACAAGTTAAAAAAACCCATTGTTGCAGTAAAATTTAGTTTGATGTAGTGTGAAACATCTCATTGCTAAATTTGTAATATTATTCCCCATTATTATGACATCGATAAACGAACCATTGTATCGCTATTCAAATACTTTAAGCCTGATCAAACTAACTTGTTTTTTTACAGCATCAAATATATATGCAAATGCAATATTCTGTGTTTGGGTGGGTTGGAGTTTCATAGTGCGTGACTTGGGTAGAATAGGAAACTTCCCATATGTTGTTATAATTATATTTTTCAAACTTTTTTTTATTTGTTGAACTGTATCATGCTTTACACGGAAGTCCATACTTAACAAACTGTTGGTCATCATTTTACGAGATTTACCTAAAAAAGTAATTTTTACATAAAAGGTCAACTTTACAAACATTTCATAATTTTTACTATAAATAGAATAAAATATTACATTTATTTCTTTAAAAATAACGGCTCACTACGAAGCTGGTTTTTGAGTCGTTACATTTCTCTCCCCCTTACAAGAATTTCTTCCCCGAAATTTGTTAATCTAATGTCCACTCAAAACACATGCACACAAATAGGCGCATGGGAAACACATTCAAGTCAACTAATTGCAGTCAAGTTAACTTATGAAGCGTACCATCAAAAGCTTTGTTGTCTTGAGGGTCAGCGCATCCTATCATTGCATAAGTGCGCGCTTGATCTTGTTTTGGCTGTTGATTCTGATTTCTTTGTTGATTTGTTTCTGCATTCATATGTTGACTTTGCTTTGGTTGCGGTGCGGTCGTTTGACTACGAGTGTTGCTTGCACATGGGTAGTGCTCGGGTTAGTGGGATAGTTCCTTTGGAAGTGGCCAGCCTACCCACAACCTAGACACAATCCCTGATTGTACCAACACTCGCCTGGATTTGTCCTTCCGCAGGTAGCACATGGCGGAAAACTAGAAGTCTTCGACTTACCACTAGACGCCACAGACAGGGCTAGCGCTGACTGAATCAGGATGGTCTTACCTTTCTTTGCATGAGAGGTTCTACTGGTCTCACCTAATGGCTTATTCGCACTAGGCGCGGCACAAACAGTTGGGTGCGTACTTGGCCCAGCTTCTTTCGCCTTCAAACTAGCTTTGTAATCATCGACATCCTTCTCAGCTTTGGCCATCAGGTCGTAAGATTTAGAGAAATCTGTAGTGTTCAATATTGATACATATGGTCGAATGTCAGGGCGCAACCTTTTGCAAAACTCTTCAATACGATCTACCTGTGTGGATACTAGCATATATACAAACTATGCCAAATGGTCAAAACTCTGTCGTAGTTCGGGGAGAGTTATGTCTCCTTGTTTCAACTCCATGAATTCAGTGCACTTCTCGTCTCTAAAACGAGCTTGAATATACTCCTTCTTGAAAGCCCAATCGAAGTACTCCCACGTCCAGGGCTAGGGTGCAGTCTCATAAGTGTGTTTCCACCATTCATATACTCTTTTTCAAAGGAGCTAGAATGCGTGATTAGGGCGATCCAGATTTGGAACATTCAGATTCCTTAGTACCCATTTGGTGTGCTCAATCTAGTCTAGTGCGATCTAGGGGTCAGAGATCTTATCCCCAAGGAATTCTTCAACTCCATTGTCTTTCAATGTCTTCAAAGTTATTTCCCCCGGAGGCGCTAGAGGCGGTGGTTGAAACATCCGTGATTGTGCCATTTGCTGCAAAAATTGCGCTAAAAACGTAGGAATAACTAGGTCTGGTTGAGCCTCCACATTATGATCCATGTTTTGGGTCTTGTTTTGGTTGTTAAAAGCTCCGCTCATTCTAATCAAATCAAGCTTTCGTAATTAGATGCTAACATATAACTGACAAGCAATAAGTCTAATTTTCTTCCAAGGACAGAGGAGTTTCGAGAGGTGTCCATGCAGCTGCTGAAGTACCCTTTTACCAAATCCAAGTTATATTTGAAATTCATTTCTTGGAACGGGCCTGAAGACTAATTTTAAAACCATTTACCCTAATACCAAAATGTAACATCCCAACCTGCTGGACCCAAATACAAGAACCACTCGATCAGTTTGTCACCAGATTAACATTCAAACACAATAATTTTTAAAACAATTTAAAACATTTATTTCACAACAATTTTAAAACATCCATCAGGGTTAACAAACAGTTTAGAAGCTTAAGTTCTTAAATCAAAATACAATTCTAGGTTTTTGCCCGGAAGCATAATAAATTCAAACTTAAATATTAATTAAACAAAATGCTTACGCAGCATCCATCCATCCCCTCATCCTCGCTGTCCTCCAGGATTAGTTCCTTATTCATCATTATTCCTGTTACCTATATGTAGTAAAGAGGAAAAATGGCTATATGTACAACGTTGAAGCTAAGTGTGAAATATCTATCGTTTTGACTATGCATATAGATGAACTCACTTGCTCATAATTTCATACAATATTGTGCACACAAGAACAACATCAATAATATCAGTAATATCAAACAACCCATAAATCAAACCTACTTACTTGGATTACCAAGTTTATGTCATTCGCAACTTAGGCAATTATGATGCAAAATCCATATGCAAAGCTCATAAATAATCTTTCTTAGTTTTAAGCTCATAACATATCCTAGGCTAAGGCCAATTCTTTATTCTTTCTAGAGTCCTTATTCAACCACATCCATGGAAGAACTCGCCTGATACAACGCCATCCAATGTCGGCTGAGTGGGACCACCAACTCACATCCATGAATAGATCTACGAACCCCGTGCACACGCTTTACCCAACTGATCATGCATGCAGGCCGATTCATCAAATGACCAGTATTGTATTCTTATTCTGTTACTTTGTCCACCAATAGTTCAGCTAGGTAACCTATTCATATTCAAGTTCATACTCTCGTATTCTAAAGCTCATACAAAATCACAGTAAAGTTCATAAACATACATACTTAACAATTAGCAACCTAGCGTCGGGTGTAAACATCTTCCACTTATCGTCATGCAACACACAAGACCTCGAAGTAAATCTGGGATTCGAATCGGGACAAACAATTAAGAAAAAGGGCGGCTGAGGTCTAACACGGTACCTGATACGGTACCCTGGCTAAGCAGTACCATGGTACCGTCGGTCCGGTACCCCCGACCATCCGAGTACAATTGCCGCCAGAGAAAATTGGCTTGTGGCGATAGTCGGGTATTGTTAGGCGATACCTAGCGACCGTCTAACATCAAGAACGTAGCAGAGTTTGATCCAACTCTAAATCATTCAATACGTATAATGTTTTTAAAGCTTATTGACACACAAACAATTGGAGTAAGAGAACATACATGGCCTCCTCGATTAATCAATAACATCATATATTTTTAAATAAATCATAATTCAAATCATAATCAAATCGATCACATAATCAATCATACAAGATTACGAACGTGAATTTCATACCTACACAAATAATCTAATGCTAGATGTTCACCTACTCACACCTCGATTAATTAAAGACGGATTAAATAGAATTCACCAATTAATCAGAGAAGATGATGGAGGACGATGGCGGCTGTTTTACTGGTGACCACAATCACCAGCGATGCAAGAACGGCTGACCTTCTCCTTGTTTGAAGATCCTGACAGCAGACAAAGGCTATCTGCGACTTCTCTCTCTTGTGTTCACATTTCGAATCTGTCTTCTTTTTCTGGTAGAAATCCGTAAAATTTTACAGTCTTAAACTCTGTATATTTGTTTTCTTTCTTTATCCATGCATGTTTTTATATGTATATACATGTATATGCAATATTCCGTGTTTGGGTGGGTTTAGGGTTTCTTGGTGCGTGACATAGGTAGAAACTTCCCATATATTTTTATCGGTAAGTCTAAAATGACATCAGTACTACTAGTGTCATTTGCTTACACCAGTTTGTTTGGAGTGCCTACGGTGCTCCGTTTGGAAAAATAATGGTTCCTACCCCCCTAACCCTCCCCCTTAACCCCCCACCCCAACCCCACCCTAGCCCCCCCACCCCAACCCCCCTCCCGCCCCCATCCCTACCCATGTCATGCACTGCCAGGGTAGGGAGGGGGGCGGGAGGGGGGGCTTGGATGGGGGGTTTAGCAGGAGGGTTAGGGCGGGTAGGAACCGTTGTTTTTACAAATGGAGCACCGTAGCCAAACAAACGGGTGTAACACCCTCCATCCCGTGAACGCAGTTCACCGCGGCCCAACAAGCCGGAGAGGTTACGTAGACGGTTTTAAGGCCATCTATAAAGAAAAACCCTTGCGTTGCTTGTAACAGAAAAATACCCTTGATATACTTTATTAATGTTGAAAATGAATCCAACAAAAGGAAACGTTTAGTAGCAGAAGTAGATATAAATGAAAATGTTAAGTCATAAATAACGTAAGTGCAACAATGGTGGGTTTAAGCCCAAAATAGGTTTTTAATAAAAATAAATAACTAGTCGGGTCCACACTGTCGCTCATCCACCGCCCCAATCACCCAGTCGTCCGGGTCAGGCTCCATGATCCTCTGGCCTACCTGCGTATAGAAAAGGGAAACAACGCTATACGCTCAGCAAAAGATGAGTGGTAATCTAACAGTAGAACACATAGTACATTCACATTGATATAAACATAAGTGTACCTGTACTAAAGTACGAGATACCGCATACACATTTAATGAATTATAGGTTATGAATAAACAGCGATGCAATGCCACATAATCATGATGCATGAGTTAGATTGCGCAGGGACCCCTGCCCTTCGGTGATCATCCCCACGCGGTAGATGAGCCAAGGAACGCCTTAGTCATCTCGTTGGAGGCTAGAATGTGGGTGATAGCAAAGCCTAGCTACCATGTACGTACACAAGCCCTCGTGATGAACCCATTTGATCCCGAAGGCTCCTGGACCGGCCCACGGAAGAGGCGCACTAGGCTTGACCTCTTCTCGGGTATGCAAGTATGCCATGATCCTAAACATGCGTCTAAGATATACATGATGATATGAATGCATTACTTTGATGAATGAAGTTCAGCACACACTTGTACGTTTGATTCC